TGCAGGGATCGACAGCAGAGCTACCTTGGCTTCTTGCTGCTTGGAGCCAGGACACACCGTCCATGGGGTACAGCTCCATCCCTGCCCTCGTGCCCTTTTAGGTGACTATCCCCCAGCCCAGCTGCCCCCAGCACTGCCCTTGCAGAGTGAAGCCCTCCAGCAGCTTCCCTGGGTTTTCCCGCCTGGTCATGCCAGCTAGCTCCATCATCCCTTTGTGTTGTGCTGCCCTTTGTGTGGCTTCCAGAAGAGAAAACCCCTGAAAAGGGGACATCTTTAAAAGGAGGCTGCAGTGTAGCTCTGGCTTTAACCCCCCACCCAACAGCTGTAGGAGCCTGGCTCTGGGCAGGGGTGGGCAGCAAGCCCCTCTGCCTGGTGGCACTACCGAGGACTTTGAATGAATCACCAGGGAACGGGACTTTTCCTGGGCTGGTCAGGGACCTTCATCGTACGTGTTACCATTCCCTGGGAAGTGCAAGGAGGTGTTGGTGCATGGCTCTGTCTGGGGGTCTTTTGTCCCAGGGGCTGGTCCTGAGACCGGCTTTGTGAGGTGGGAGTACTGTGCTGCACCCTCAGCTTGGGTACCAACACCCTCATCCCCAGCAGAGCCACTTTGAGGTTTGGGAAGCCCCACGTTCCCACCAGACAGTCCAGCCCTCGAGCTGCCCTGCAGGCCACCCCTGCAGAGGAGGGGCCCCATGGATGGGAGCCTGTCTGATCTGCTGGGACCATTGTGGGGCTATGGGGCAGGGCAAGGGGCGACAGCATCTCACAGGGATGCACAGTCCCCAGTTGCTGCCCTAACACGTTTCTCAATTTCGTGTCCCCTCCAGAGCACTGCGGATTGCACTGCAGTTGGGAGGAGGCTGAAGAGCGGGCTGCGCCTCAAATCGTGAGTGTCCTCGTAGCCCTGCGGGATGGACGTGGGTGCTAAGGGTGCCCAGCCACCCCGGTACCCTGCAGCCCCATGGGAGTTTCAGTTTTGTTCTAATCTTCCTTGCCCTGCCCCAGGCATCTCCCCTCCACAAGACCGCAGCCTGTGGGGTGGTAGGGGGTTTCTTCTGCCCCTGGAGGGCAGGAAATTTGTTCAACCTCCACCAAAGAAAGGGTTGGTGGGACTTGGAGAGGGATCCACATCCCCATGGACACAGGCAGCCCAGGGCTGCATGCTCTCCAGTCTGACACCAATCTTCTCTCCTTTCTCAAAGGCGACACCTCCGGAGCAGCCTCCGGAGGGGCACCAGGTCCTCTGGGGTGCCCTGGGCCACCACCACCGTCAGCCATGCTCTACTGGGCAACTTTGAGGTAATGGCACCCACCTGCCAGAGAGGGGGGTGCATCCTGGGGACTCTGGGCTGGGCTGGCAACACGCATGAGAGGCTGAACCTGACGGGAGCCCTGGTGTGGGGCTGGGCTGACTGTCCCCAAGGGCCTGGCATGCAATGGCTGTGTTGCACGGCCACCATCCAGCAGCAGGATGGCTCAGCCACCAGATCCTTGGGTGATGCCCTAGGACCCTGGACCCTGCTGAGATGGCTGCTACAGGGCTGAGCTGAGGCACTCTCGCTGTTTCTCTGTGTTAGATGGCTGGTTTTAGCCCACCAATTCAGGACGGATTTGTGTCAGAACGAGCAGCCAGGGCCCCTCATGAGCAGTCTCTGGACATATGAGGGCAAGCAGACATATGGTTGCAGTGGAGATGGGGGTGATCTCACCTGCAGCTTCAAGGCGAGGGCAGGACTGGTGTTTGAAGGTCCCTAATGCTTCCCTCTTCTTTCAGGAGTCCATTCTGAAAGGGCGCTTTGCACCGTCGGGGAGGATCGAGGGGTTCACAGCAGAGATTGGTGCCAGTGGCTCCTACTGCCCCCAGCACGCCACCCTGCCCGTTGATGTCACCTACTTCGACATTTCCGAACATAGTGTGCCCTCGCCTTTCCTGGTACACGGACAAGGGAGGGCTGGGACTGTTGGGAAGATGATTGAGGGCTGTACCCAGGCACCACCCATCCTAGGGGCTGCCCCTCTCTGGAGACCATGGCTGAAGCAACCACCTATGTGGGGAGACCACTAGCTGTGCTGGGAGCAGTATTTAACCCAAAAAGCAGAGGGAAAGAAGAGGGAATCCTTGCAAGCATATCAACAGGCAGGCAGCTGTCTCATGGCTGTTGCTTTGCCATCACCTCTGTGTTGCTGCTTCTTTGTCCCCTGGTCTGGAGAGAGACTGAGCTGGGTGTCTTCTTGCTGCCTTGTGCCAGGTGTTTATGGCGAGGGAGGCTCTCAGCCCCGTGCTAGGTCCCGGCTGGGCTCTCAGTGGGCTTTGTTCCTCTCCCATGCTGTTTCTTTTGCTTCAGGGAGTGATTGACTTGGAGGCCTTGGGAAAGAAGGGTTACAGTGTCCCCAAAGCTGGAACCGTCCAAGTGGTGAGTCATTCCCTGGCCTGCAGTAGCACCATGTGGAGGGGGCTGGGTGGGCTCCGGTTGCACCCGGGGTGGAGATGCTCTATTATGTTGGTTGGCAGGGCAGCAGCTGGAAAGCTTGTGCAGAGGGGGGATATGGCCACCAAGACAGCACAGCGACGGGGAGTATGGGATCCCTAGGGTGCCAGCAGGGAGACAAGGTGATGGGAGATGCAGGGAAGGAAGAGGTTGGTGAGGAGAGATGGGATCTCAGCAGGAGAGCCTGTTCATTTGGTGGTGATGGAATGGGAGCACAGGAGTGAAGGTGAGTGGAAAGGACTGACCCGTGAGCCTCAGGCTAAGCTCTCTGGGGCTGGTGTGGGGCTTTCTGGACCCTTGGGCCTGTTTGTGCTGCTACCAGATGTCCCAGCCCTGCCCTATGGATCTATTCCTGTGCCATTCGCAGTCTCACCTCCTACCCTTCTGCCCCCAGACCTTATTTAACCCCAACAAGACTGTGGTGAAGATGTTCTTGGTGACGTACGACTTCCAGGACATGCCGGCCAACCACATGACCTTCCTACGCCATCGAATCTTCCTGGTGCCTGTGGGGGAAGAGGAAGGGTCCACTGTGGCCACCAATGACCCACTGGGCACTGGCCCACCCCGCAGGGTCCTCTGCTACCTGATGCACCTAAGGTAGGGCATGCAGGGAGGGAAGGACACCTGCCCCAGGGTCACCCCTGGGCTCCTCTCCCGGCGGGTGTCCCTGCCTCCCCCAAGCCTTTAGGCCAGAGCCGGGGTATGGGTAAGCTCCCTGGGGAGGAGCAGGGATGAGCTGCTCTTTTCAGGGAGGTCAGGGCTGCCACCCTGCCCAAGGGCAGCGGTCTCTGTCCCTCTGAAGGCAACCAGAGCATGGCCACCTTGACCAGGGGCTAAAGTAGGCAAGGGAGTTGTGCCCTCTGCCAAGGCTGTCCTGCCCCTGCCTGGGAGCCTGAGGTCCCTCCACCCTGCTCTTGTCTCCACTCAGGTTTCACAGCTCCAAGTCAGGGAAGATCTACCTTCATGATGACATCCGGATGCTCTTCTCCCGCAAGTCGATCGAGGTCGACTCAGGAATCCCCTATGAACTGAAATCCTTCACGGAGATGCCAAGGAACCCATGCTACTCACCCCGGGCCTGACCTTCTCCATCCCCCAGGGCCACCGGGGAGCCTCCAGCCCAGCACTTTGGGGATAGATGAGTAAAGGGCCAGCAAGCAAGCACCGACTTGAAGTATCACCCTCCCCATGTGTCCCCGTTCTCTTCAGCAGCACAGACACCATGCCCATGCCCTGCAGCAGAGCTGGGATCATTGAGGGGGCTTCACCAGGAGGGTCATGGGCTGCAGAACAGCCCTGGCAGTCCAGGAATGTGCCCAAGCCTTCTGCTGGTGCTGCTCCCAGCTTGGAGACTTGGCTGGAGCGGGGGGGGAGTGAAGAGTTGGGCCAGGGGCTCCAGATGAGGCTGCCTATGCCGGTCCTGGGGTTGGGAAGGAGTAAGTGTGGAAGTTTGTATTTATTAGTATTTATTGTTGCTGGGAGCACAGAGGAGGCTTCTGTAGAGGATTGGAGGTGCTGTGCTGTTCTTCCCGCCACCTTGCCAGTGCTGGATGAGGCCTCTGGCAGCATGGGGCTGCCTGGGTTGGGGCAGGCCTGTGGGGACTGTGAGGGTAACTGGGGATGGGGACACGTCAGCGTGTGGAAGAGAGGGTGATCCACCTCTTGGCCAGGAGGATCAGCCTCTTGGCCAGGGTGCAGCACCCAGGCTGGGGCCATGTTAAAAGCCCCAGGAGAGGTCGAGACTTGCTGAGCACCAGGTCTTCAGGGCTAGCCTCATTTCAGGCAGCTTGGGAGGGCCTGGTATTGTCCTCTGACCCCTTTAGATTAAGCCAAACCCCCAGAAGTCTGTGGCTGGCAGGGAAGTGGCCATTGCCAAGGAACCTGGGGCTAAGAGACATGGCTGTCACACAGATGGGGACCTGGAGCTCTCTGCAGGAGCATGGGGACAGCCCTCCCAGCAGGAGCCTCCAGAGCCCACGTGTGCTGTGGATCTGAGAGAAGGCGGAGATTGCCAAAAAATCAGAGCCTTGCACTATCTACATGTGCAAAGTGAATCCCATCTAGGAGGCAGCTTTGGGTAGAGGCCTGCTGGCACTCTGAGTGGGTGCTGGAGGATGGGCAGCAGCCCTGGCATATTCTGTGGGAAGAGGGGAAGCAGCAGAGGACATCAAACGGGAGTTGGGCTGGACCTTGAGGAGGGGGTTCGGGGGTGATGTGGAGCAGTGCCCATCCCTGCTGCAGCCTTGGGAGCTGCGGGCCAATCCCAGGGTGGGTCAGAAAGGTGAGAAGGGCAAAGGCAAGCGAAAAATGAGCTTGCACGTACCCTGTCTGTATCACCCCTATGACCTGGGGTTTCTGCTAGGCTCCTAGTGCCAGCTGAGGCTGCCGGGAGACCCTGGCCTCTCTCTCTAAGGGTGAGGACGAGAGGGACAGGTCCCCGCATCATCATATGCCAGCCTATGTGTGAGGCTGCGACCTTACTGAGGTGGGCACGAACCCGGGGCCGGGGTCTCCCTGGACTGACCATCGTTTTAACCAAAGCCCACCCTGTGTTCGCGTTGCTACCCCCGGATCCCCGGCTGGGCGACCTGGGGGGTGGGAATGGGCAAGGACGGACCTCTGCCACACCGGCAGCGCGGTGAGGGGGCC